ACATAATAATCGAAAACCATTAAATTTATCGAAAACCACTATGGAAATAAAGTAAAAATTACTATAAAATAAGCATAATCCACCTTAATATTAATGTAATCCCACTATTAAATTAGTGTAACCCATTGTTAAATTAGTGTAATTCACTACATGTTCATCAAAAACCACTATTAAATTAGTGAAATCCACTTAATTTTTTTTCCACCCGGGTTACAAAAATTAAAATCCACTATATACTCATCGGAAACTACTACAAATTTATCAAAAACCATAGTAAAATTACTATAAAATAACGTAATCCACTTTACATTAACATAATCCACTATGTGAAAACCACTATGTATAAACAACAATATAAATATGAAAACCACTCTTTATAAATAACATATAACATGAAAACCAATTTATATAAACACTATATAAACATGAAAACCACTATTTACAAACAACTATATAAACATGAAAACCACTCTGTATACTTTTCAAAATCCACTGTGTATACTTATCAATGTTATCAATGTGAAAGAACATAACCCCTTTAGAAATCCAAGTAAAGGCATGAGATTGGACAATCTTATTCTTTTGCTTTCCATGTTACAAATATTTAACACCATAAAAATTAGAATAATACATATTTAACCAATTTTCTGTCCATGAACGAATCCGCAATCCACAACCAACACGAGTCACTTTTCTTCTTGTAGTTGGGTCCTAATCATCAATAAAAAGCACTCGTAATATGAAACTTAAATTGCTCGGCGGCGGAGATATTGCAAACGCCGCCATACCGAAAAATATGTCAACTTCTTCACCGCAGCCAACACCAATAACATTATTGCATAAATTACATAATGAAGTGGCAAAAGCCGAAACTTTACCACCATCCTTCACTTGAAAATAATTACCGAGACATACCTAAAAATAAAATATTCAACAATTCAATCATCGTTTTCCCCAAATCATTTAAAAGAATAGAAAAATATGAGAAAGGTATGATGATGACTTCATCTTCTCCGTCACTGTATCCCCTCTCTTCATCAGAATAGAAACCCCGGCCCACCTTCGCTGCATTTCATGCAGTTGTCCGATCAAAATTTGCATACGTGCCGCGGCCGCTCGCGATCCTCCTTATCTGGCTCAGACTCGCCGCCCTATCCGGCAGCCGCAGTCCGCCGCCATGGTTAACTGAAGCATCGGATTTTCTTCCGCCGCCGTACCCAAAAATCTTCTTAAGACCCGACGACTTCTTCACCTCATGCGCCGCCGAGTGGGAATTTTCTTCTTGCTCGCCAATTGATTTAGTTTCCTATGGTTCACAAAGTTTATGTATTTGATGCGCCGAACGAATGCCTTGGTGGGAGATTTTGATGATTTTTTGGGAGGACTATTCGCTTTCTTATTCGCGGAGAGGCTTTGTGCGGCGGCGGGAAGCGGAAGAAGAGGTGGTTGTACGTTGGAGCTGCACCTTTTCTGGCGGCGCGACGACGATGGAGGAGAAAAAAAAAAAAGAACAAAGATATACGTTTATTTATTTTCAACCCTAAAATACCTTATAATAAGCTAAGGGTATAATTGTGATACTTAATTAATTTTTATTAATAAAAGATATTTTGGATTTATCTTAAAAATATAAAATATATTTGGGCTCATTCTAACTGCACTTGTGTGGTGAGGGGGTTTTGTCAAATTATCCCTATTTTGATTGACTATTAAAAAATTAGTAAAATATTTTTTATATAAAGTACTTTTTGACAAATGTTTATTTATACTATATATCTTATTTGTTAAAAAATATCAATAAATTATTAGACTATATCAGCTATTTAAAAAAAATGTTAATAATACGATTTTTTTTATGATTTTATTTAACCATTAATGAATAGTGAACACATTTTAGATGAACTATGTATTTTTCTTTTGATGGAAGATAAACCATGTATTTGATTACTTATAAATAACGGTAAATTACAACCACCCCTGAGGTATGATCAAATTACGAAAACACCCTTCAACTATAAATTTTCTTAAACGTCTACCCTTGCGGTGTCAAATTTAATGGAATATTTTAAATTTTATGGAATATTCTCAATTTTGTACCCGTTTTATTCCGTTCGAGCTCCACATTTTAAAGCAAGATGAACATAAGATGTGTTTTTTGGCTTGTATATATCAGATTGTGGTGCATCTTAAACTGCATTTTTTCACAAAACGAGTACAAACTAGAGAACATTCTACGGAATTTAAAAGATTATGTTGAATTTGACACCATAAGGGTGTACGTGTAAGAAGATTCATAATTGAGGAAAATAATTGTAATTATCCAAATATTATGATTTTTTTCATAATTTGATCATACTTCATGGGTGATTGTAATTTATCTTATAAATAAATATATTATGTATTACTGGCTTACTGCCTGTGTCTATATATATCTTTTGGTATATAAAAATGGCCTCATTTTTCTATCTAAATAAAAGAAATGCAGAAAATAAATATCAAG